CTTCCTCCCTCCCTTCCTTCCCTAACCAGCCAAAAGTGAAAGAAAAGCAGGTTCCCTAGCACCTGATCCCCTTTTGTGTTTACATCTGATTGACAAAGGCCTTGATAAAAGCCATCAACTTAATATGTCCATGAGTATTCTGTTGTGGGAGTGCCTATTACTCTGTCCATACAGATTTCTAGCTCCCATTTGCCTATTCAATACAGAATTTTTGTTCCAGAAGAAGTTTTTTGATTTGGAAGATACAGTCCTAGGACTACATAAGGAAGAACAGAAAATGGCAACATGTAAGTTACTATTGCCTATAGTACAGCAAAAACCTAACCGGTCTCCCTGCCTCCAAATTAAACACTGACATAGCAATTTTCCTAAAGCATAGCTCTGATCATATAGTTTGATTAAAAATCTGGAATGCCTTTTCAGTGTCTACTATATTAAGTGCCAACTTTTTCCTAGCCAAAATCTTTAACCTGAATCTAATAATGAGAAACAGAAGAACCCAGATTGTGGGGCATTCTAAAAGGCAAACTGGTCTAGAAACTGCAAAAATGCCAATTGCCAAGCAAGGAAAAAAAGTGTGAACAGTACCAGATTAAAGGAGACTAAAGAATCATGTTAACCAAATACAATGCATAATCCTCAATTAGATGTTGATTTCTTTTTAATAGCTATAGAGATTGGGATCATGAAAATGTTCCAAAATTAGATTATGGTGATGGCTAGAACTGTACCCTTTAAATTAATAAACTTAATGGCATGTAGATTTTATCTAGAAGTTATGTGGATTTTTTTGACAACTAGAAAAACGTGAATATAGACTGTATGTTAGATTATTTTATCAATGTTAAATTTCTTTGAATATTGGAACCTTCAGACATTGCTGGTGGGAATGTAAAATGATGTTGCTGCTGTGGAAAACTATTTGACAGTTCCTAAAATGTTAAATATAGTTACCATAAGACCCAGCAATTGCCCTCCTAGGTGTATACCCAAGAGAACTGACAACACATGTCCACGCAAAAACTTTCTAATATTCTCCTACTATAAACAATACTGTTTTTGCACAAATGATTTTTTGCTATTCTTCAAATTTGTTCCCCTCTAACCTAGACACCTTCTCTTCTCTCTGGTCCTCTAATTTCAATTCTATTCTTCAGTCCGCCCTCCTCTCATTCCCTAGAGCCCTTCTATTTATCTTATGGCATTTAACTTATAGCAAATAATTTATGCTGCTATTTTGGATTCTGGTTTTATAATGTATTAGCAACTTTGAGACTTTATTTTGCTTATCTCTGTATGTCCTGTGGTTATTTCTAATGTCTTTAATTTTTACTTATTATAAACACAGGTATCTCTGGCTATATGAATCTATCTGAATATCTGCTACAATGACATGGAAAAATTATTACCCAGAATTCACACTCTGAGTTGAAAATTCACTGTAACAGATATGTGTGCACCTGCCAGTGAAGAAATTTAAGTTGTATTTAAGAGCAGGCAAAACATACATAAGAACATATGAAGGAATACAGAGCATCCACCCAAGGGGATAGCCTTTCAAGCATTCCTACATCTGCTTCTGCCAGGAGCCTGAGGCCACCAGCAACCAGGTTCTGATTTTGATGAAATCTAAATTTAATACTGCAGTACAAAAATAATTACAATTTTTATCCAGTGTTGTCATTTACCATATAAACCCAAAAGGGGCTCACACAGTGTTACATGATTATATAATTATGCTTTAAATACTTTGTTATACAGATGTTTAAGAGGATTTTTATGATTTTGGGGAAATCAGTTACGGTTTTGGCTGGGTTCAGAACACATTTAAAATAACAAAATAGAGGCTCTGGCTGTTCAAAAATGCACCATAGGTATGATTCCAGGAATGGAATGAGTACAAATACCAAGGGATGCCATTACTTATTTTAAGAATGCAATCCGAGAGAGGTAGGGACTATTCTTAACTTGATTCAATAAAATCTCTTTTTACACAGTTGGGCCTAAGGAAATTATGTTCATGTAATAACATGCCAAATGGAACCTGGCCAGGTTTTCCTAGATGTTTATATAATGCAGGCCATAAACTGTCAGGGAATGCCTCCTGTGGATCCTGGTCTACAAAAGACCACGTGAAATTCCTCACGGTGGCACACACAGCAGGCTACTGCCAATACACTTCTCCACAAGTGTCCTTTACACTAGGGAAATATATAGGGGAAGGGTCCAAATAATGTGACTTTTCATTTATCCAAATTGTTCTCCACTCTCAGTGATCTAGGTTTATGGGCTGCACAATAATTGAGAACACTGGCTTTCAAAACTTGATGGCAACCTACAGTGAGAAATATCTTACCATCACAACAGAGCACACACCTTTAAATAGGTAATATATATATATATTAAATATATAGAATTTACATATAACATGTACATATGTAAAATGTTAAAATACTTAGTGACTATCTGTGATACTCTTGATGTATTTTATTCTGTAGTTAATTCTAATTTCAATTGTACTGTACTCTATCGTTTTAAAAATGCTTTTTATCACTCACAAAACTGATTTCATGACTATGAAAATGTGACCCTCAATATAAAAAACAGATTTGGAGGATATTTAATAATAAAGATTTAAAAAACTAAAGTATAGGGCTCTATTCCTTGAAACTGAAATCCTTTTGATAAGATTTTGATTTATTTTATTAGCATCTCTAATGCAAAGCTGTAGATCAGTTTTAAAATTTATTAGGAATAAACAAAATTTTTCAGGGTAATCTTATGCCTTTTTATTTTTCTATAGCCTTGCTCCTTCAGTGAGCATCTTTCCCATTGGGATGCTCCCTCTGCTTTCAAACATGCTCAGGGTTCATCTATCCCAAAAGGAAGAAAATAACAACATATGTGCACACTGCTTCCCCCTCCCTCGCACTCCCCAGAAAGCCACCTCTACAGTTGCTCTCTGACTCCTGAGTGGTTTTCCTGTCTACTCTGTACTGTCAAACTTGGACAGGTGATTCACCTTGTTGCAACTGTTGATATGGCTGGGCTGTGTCTTTCAAGATTAAAACTCAACACCTTTGAAACACTAAGGGCACTGATTCTACCATCAAGCCTGTTTTCCATTTAATTTTGCAGTGAGTACTAGCCAAAACTACAACATCATCAAGCATCTGAGACCCATATTATTAAAAAAGATAAGGTAATTTAAAACAATATTATTTCTCGATATAAAAGTATATTTAAGGTGAAAGAAAAATAAACAACTTTATGCTTTAACTTGTAGTCTAAAACCTCTAAAGCCATAAATAAGTAGTGCTGCTAAGTCATAATAAACTTCAATATATGATAACACATATACTATGTATTGCAATTTACCTTTTATAAAATTTCAAGTAATTTTTATATTGGGGAAATACAGAAGTGAAGCCATAGTATAGGAGACCTTAATTTTCACGGCGCATCCCAAGCTTCTAATGCAACTACAACATACGATTCCCCACAATAAAAAGAGACACCAGAGAGATAAGGAGAAAAGCTCATACCGCGGGCTAACGGGACAGCTTCCTAACGTATATGAGACAATTAGAGCCTTTGGAAAAAATTTTAAATTTTAAAAAATATGAATAGTTTATACATTCATATGGATTCAAAACTCAGAAAGTATAAAAGGGCAATTTATGTGATTTTAAAAAAACAATAAAACAAAACCTTTTTCTTTTTCCAATAATGGAATTAAGCTTTAATATTCAATTAAATACTTTATAATTTTATAAAAGCCATATTACCAGTTACATTATAACTATAGTACAAACACTACATAATTGTATAAATGACAGGTATTCATACCATTTATTTTCTGTACCATGCTATATATTTTAGCATCCAATTATATATATTAACTTTAATACTCAGTATTTTGTTAAATCATTTTCAGCTGGTGTCTGTCTATAATTACTGGCTTCTTATTAGAACTGAAGGCTCACCCGGCCGGGCGTGGCTCAGCGGTTGAGCATCAACCTAGGATCCAGAAGATCTCGGTTCAATTCCTGATGAGGGCACATGCCCGAGTTTCGGGCTCGATCTCTGGTTGGGGGCGTGCAGGAGGCAGCTGATCAATGACGACTCTCTCATCATTGATGTTTCTCTCTCTCCCTCTCCCTCCCTCTCTCTGAAATCAATAAAGATATATTTTAAAATACCCAAAAAACTGAAGGCTCTTTGAGATCAATGTCATCATATACTATTTAAATACCCTCAGGTAATAAATAAATGGCTATATTAATTCAATAAACAAAGAGCCTATATTAGTTCACATCTACTGACCTTTTTAAAATACAGTCTCATCTTTTTAAGCATGTTATTCTTACCTCTCACTGTTCTCCTCCATAGTATCTTGCATTCTGGAGGACAGTCCTGTATATCTGTCACCTGTCAGTTTTTCTTCTTCTAGCCCTATCCTGTTCCCATTGTATTTTTCCGTCATTATTTTCGTTGGTGAATGATCAAAAGCAGGACATAAGTCTTCTTTAGAAAGTTCTTTCCACCGTTTCTAGGTAAGGAAGAGAAAAAACAAATCCAAACACTTACATTTTGGTCTTCTTAATATTGAAAGAGTTTAACTGAAATTCTATAGTCAATTTAAGAAAACTCTGTAATGCTAACAGACAAATAAAAAAGGACCTCATTAAAATTTTTTCATAGTAAAAAGATTTTAGCCAAAGCCACCAACCTAAGAAAATATAACATTCTACTGGACTTTTACTATATCTGCCATAAGTACTCAAGTTGCTCATTGTTGTAAAATGAAATATCTATTATATAAACTAAGTATTCTATAATCCCAGGTCAAGTTTTTAATGAGTAAAAGTACCTAAATTTTCTGGTTTATTTTAAATATTTAAACTCTACTTACATAAAAATTTTATTTTCTTTAATGAAATGTTGTTCCCAGTAGGGCTTTTGAGTGACAAGTAGGATTTCACATGAGGCTGAGGTATATATGAGGAGTGAGCTTAAATTTTATAACTTTAAGATGGCCAGCTGGATTTACTACATTAATGTAAATATGCTACTTGGAAGGAAGGGAGAATATAAGTGCAATTAAGTGCAATGATATGATGCTAATCATATTTATTACACAGGTACTATTTTTCCCCTGAAAAAGCTCACCTGTATATTTGAATCCCCCTTTATAAATTTTGCTCCTTCTATTATAGTCATATATGAAAATCTGAGTTGATCTGGTGTTTGAATAAGTCCCATTCTATATTTTCTCATATTCAGTAATAGTTGTTTAATGTTAATATCATCTCCTTTTTCCATCTGCAAGAAAGGTAGAAAGTAAATTATTCAATGAGTTCAGGAAAGAGAAGCAATACAGGATAATTGCTAAGAGTTTTGTTATGTCCTATGCTCTTCCTCAAAAACAAGAATAAGTTATCACCAAAGCTGTAATTCTATGTACAAAACTGCCATCACCAGACATCCATCCTCCCCCAAGCTCAACTGTTCAAGCAGTAGACGGATGGCTTTTGGTCCTTTAGCTGATTCACAACTAATTCTAAACCAATCATAGTAACCTCATTCACTTTGGCTGATCTCCAGCAGGGGGCGTGCAGGAGGCAGCCAATCAATGACTCTCGTCAGTGGTTTCTAGCTCTCTTCCCCCCCCTTCCTCTCTCTGAAATCAATAAGAAAATTATATATATGTATATATTTCAAAGAAAAGGAAAACCCACTGAGTTTATTAGAGCTCATCTTCTTTTTTTTATAAAGAAGATCTTGGAGGGAGTAAAACTTTTTGCCCAGTGCCCTTCCGCCTTCATGTCTGTGTACAGCAGCCATGTGGAGATGGTGAAGGAGGAAGACAGAAAGAACCCAGATCCACAGTGACACTAGTGAGCCACTGCACCAGCCCTGGACTACTGATCTGCTATTATAACCACCATACTCCTCCCCCCACAACTGAAAAAGAAAAAAGTTGTTGAAATTACATTTGGCAGGGAACGGGCCCAAATATGATTCAGTTTTAATATTCACCATTAACAGAATTGACATTGGAGTTTTAAATGTAGCAAAGTTCACTTTGATGTACCAATCCAGTTTTTTTTTTGCAGAGGAATTTATTATTTCAAAATTCAGCCTCTGATGTTATAACCACAAGATATTTTAAATCAATAGTTTATAAGCATACTATCACATTTTTATCACCTCTTCATAATCTTGTGGTTTCTACAGTCTTTGTTTTATGGATGCTGTGATAATTAATGGAATGGGCTTAGTTTCCCATTCTTTCTTCCTCAGTTCATTTCTTTTTATCTCCCCACTGATAGTCTTTGGCAGCTCTTGAACAAATTCTACCTTCCTAGGATATCTGTAAGGTGCTGTAGTTTTTTTCATGCTCCTGAATTTCCTTTTTTAGTGGTTCTTGGCCCTGTGACTCGTAATTGGGGTTCAGCCTTTACTACCTCTCCTCTGATGGGGTCTGGGCACTGACCACAGCCGACTCTGCCACCATGGGGAGCTCAGCCAGGACACCACCTCAAATGGTCCAATTCGGTAACTAGAGAATAATATGACATCATCCGATCTTGCAACAAACCAGAAATATCCATCTTCATCTACATGGCCTCTGTTCCCGGTGATGTAGAAGTTACCTGGTAGAGTTGAAGCTGTTTTTGTAGGATTATCTACATAATGAGTGAAAACACCAAATGGTAGGTTAGGTAGAACTTGAAGGTCAAAATCTCCTTCTTGTCCAGGAGGTAGAACACTGCCATTTGCATCTAAAATCTTAACATCAAAAGCAGAAGGCTTTCCCATTGAGCCAGGCTTAATATTCATACCCTTAAAATTCCCACAGATTAGCACCATTTCCATCTGTCCACATCCTTTGCAGATGTCCAGCCCTGTGCTTCACTGCTCAGTCACTTCAGGGCCGATGGGCTCCCCAGCACTCACACAGTGTTTTAAACTTTTGAATTTATAGCTGGTCGTGTCATTCTGTAGAAGCATTTGGTATGCAGTTGGCACTGAACAGAAGTCTGTGATGGGAAACTTGGTGAGAATCTGCAAGATGAAAGCTGGCTCAAACAGCAGCAAACGATGTGGAAATACACATGCTCCCCGGATCCATGGAGGAAACACGCGGCTCCATGCAGACTTTGCCCAGCCTGTGTGAGAGGTATTCCACATCACATTCCAAGGTGTCAAATCCAGCCAGAACCTTCTGTTTACAGACAATCCTAAACTGAAACTGCTGTGGGTATGTGCAGTCATTTTAGGAGATCTGGTCATCCCGCTGGTGAAATAAATGGCCATTATCTTACTGTGTTTTGTCTCCACACAGGTGTGGTTGTCAGTGGCATGTTTCATCATCTACTTGGGATCCCCCCATCCCTCTCTGGGGTGCTGAGACACAATTAGCTTGGAGTGCAGGTTTTCACATTTAGATGCCACAGCATCTACTGCTGAGGCTACAACTTCGTTGGTAATAATGCACTTCATTTTTGAAGACTGGTCTATAGAGGATGTCTTTCGGGATCAGCTGAGTGGTTCCTGGAATTAAAACTGCATCTGCAACATGAACAAGTGCAAGTGCATGGAGGAGGCCTACAGCGGGCTCATGAGTACAGTGACGACCTGTATGGGCCAGAAAAGGTATTGGCCCAGGGCGAGCAAGAGGTATCAGCCTTGGAGGGAGGTGGGAAGGCCACCTACCCCAATCCAGTTTTTGATAGTTAAGACTCAACTGTTCTTATACCCTAAAAGTACAACTGAAAGAGTGTAAATGAGATTTTTAGGTTTTTCCAAAAAAGGGCAGAAGTTTAAGTTTGAAAAACATAGTTCTAGGATGCTGACATTAGAGCTTACTTCTGCCAATGAAAACAATACAAAAATAAACAAGCCTAAAATAAGATCATAAGAAGCACTTACCAGAACAAGACAGGTATCTACTAGAGAAAAGGTGCCTGACCGCCCAATGCCTGCACTACAGTGGATCACTGCAGGCCCATGCTCAGGATTCAAGGAACCAGATTCTCTCACTTTAAATAAAAAATTGAGAAATGAAGCTGGTGATTCAGGGACTCCAAAATCTGGCCAGGTAGTATAATGAAAGTGAGATATTGTTCTGGTTTCACCATTCTAAAAGGTAAAAATCAAGGGGGAAAAGTTAGTTCTAATTTTTTTCTTTTAAAAAACTACTTCAGAAAGACTATGTGTTTGTGTAATGCTTTTAATCCTATGAACTTTTTGTACTATGATTTTTCCTGTGGTTTCTGATCACCAATTACACAAGTTTGGAGAGATTTTCTTTAGAATATATTAATAATAGCTAACATAATTTTGCAGGTATGTTCTAAGCTTTTCATGCATTGATCATACAACAATCCTATTAAAAACCATTTTCCAGATGAGAAAACTGAGCCAAGAGGTTAAGTTATATATCCAAGGTACACATGTAGAAAATGGCAGAGCCAGAATTTGAAGAAGTAGTCTGATGCACCATTCAGGTTCTTAAACACTAACCTGAATGATATGTGTTGTGAATCATTTTCTTTAATTCATAGATGATAAGTGGATTCTTTTCTTCCTATTTTTCAAAATTTCTACCAGTATGATTTTACGTTCTTTAATGGTTTCCCTTTTAAGAATTCCAAAAACTTTTTAGATATAACCTTCTCCAGTCTATGAATCACCACTTAGATTCTGCCACAGAGGCATAGAAGACCAACTCAAGAATTAATTTTCAAAAGCAACCTTCACATTTTTAATTGAAACTGCTCTTCTAATTGCTGCTTTCCCCCAGGGTAATAACTTCCAGTTCTAAAACTGTTTATATGCCTTTGCTGATATGCTAAAATGGTTTACCAACATGCTAAATGTTTCCTGTCTCTTAAAGCCTGCCTGGCATTCACTATCACTTCCTGGATATTCCTGATGATCTTATATTTCTGACCAACTCATTATGAAAATGTTCCTTAGCTTCTGCCAATTGCCTTTTGCCCCAAGGAGCACTTATGTGCCTTATACTTTTCATTTCTGTAAACAAAGCAATAATCCTCTAACATGTCTTTGCACAATTTTTCAGTTTTATTATAAAACTTTTTTGGAAGGAGAAGCCATAGAAGCAACATAAAAAGCCACAATATTTTTAATGCTTAGCCGCTAAACATTATTATTACAGCATCCTGCTTTCAATACAAATTTTCAAAACTAAAGCCAGCTTTCACTCAAAAAAACATAAAATTTCCCTTTTCAGTAAAAATTAAGAGTCCTAAGTCCTAGACTAAGTTACATCAGGTGCGAAACTGATACAACAGTGTAGAAATTTTAAAAATATATTTTAAAAAGTTTAATTATATAGCCCGGCCGGTGTGGCTCGGTGGTTGAGCGTCGACCTATGATCCAGATTGAGGTTTGATTCTTGGTCAGGGCACATGCCTGGGTTGCAATCTCAATCTCCAGTAGGGGGCATACAGGAGGCAGCCGATCAATGACTCATCACTGATGTTTCTCTCTCTCTCTCTCCCTCTTCCTTCCTCACTCTGAGATTAATAAAGACATATTTTTTTAAAAAGTTTAATTACATAGTTTTAGTGACCAATTTTTTTTTTAATATCCAGCTTTCATAATTCCAAATACACCATGATTCCACAGGGTCTCAATATACTGGGGCAGTAGATTTCCCTATTACTAATAAAAATGATTACTGTGGTTACCAGACATCAAAACATTTCCAAATTTATGGGAATGAAAAGAAGCCAGACTCTAAAAGATACATACTGTATGATTCCACTTATATATGACAGTTTGGAAAGGGCAAAATTATAGGAATAGAAGCAGCTTAGTGGCTGTGAGGAGCTGGGAGTGGGGGGTAGGCCTGACTATACACAGGCAGCATGAGAACATTTTGGGGAAGGATGTTGGTGGTGCTAGAACTGTTCTGTATCTTGATGGGGGGGCGTTACACGAAACTGAATACATTGTTAAAATTCAGAACTGTACACCAAAAAGACTGTATCTTACTGTATGTAAAAAAGAGAATTAAATTTACTGTATTAAAGAAAGATATTTAAAACATTCCAAATTAAGAAGGTTTTTACAAAATCACAGATGGAGAGGTAACAACGTGACAACTGCCTGCTGTGATCATCAGCCACCAAGCCATGCTGACCATGCACAGCAGAGCCAGACTTGGTCCATGTGAGCCTAAACCAGGTACAGTATGAACCTGCTGGATCTCCCAGGTCTTGGGGAGGGGAGAGGGGTGGCCCCAGGACTTTGCTTTCATAAGAGCTGTGCTCCATAGGGTGTGGCCCAGTGTTCCTAAGTGCGCGTGCGCTCAATTATTGCATCACCTCCTGGCTCAAAACCTATGGTTACCTCACAGTCCTGAACAACTGCTTGCTTGTTCTCTGCTTGTATGAATTTGGCTCAAGACTAGTGGTCCCTTGTTGTTTTTTCAAATTAAGGTCATGCTGTTTGAGATACTCAAAGCCAGTTCCCAGAAATGCTCACAACTATCTGTATAACACGGTCTTCTCCACTAATAGATTCTTGAAGATCAGTCTTTTTCTTCTCCTACCAGATTAGACTAACAAACTTTTTTATTACTTAATCCTACTGAAAAAAAGATTCAAAAACACAGCTCACAAAACCATATAAATCCCAAAAGACCACATACAGCAAAAAAAGCAATCCTTATTCCAAACAAGCTCTACATTTAGACTTTAGAATATCTGACAAACTCCTTATTTCAAAACTGTGAAGCATCCTTTCCTTCTCCTAAGTCACCAAGTCACACCAGTTTTCCTTTGGTGGTACAAGTTGGTCCCTCCCATCCCTTTCCCACTGCTGCATCTCACACCCACACATACCTGGTTTGCCCCCACAACTGCATAGCTGTCCCCTGCTCTAGTTGCTCCTTACACGCCTGCCAAGTTTTCTCTGTAAAATGTTGCATTATGTATACCACACTCTACATAAAAATGCCAGTGGTTTACTGTTCTTTTTAAGGCAAAAATCTCAGTTACATTTTTTGAAGGAGAATTCTAAATTTAAAGTCTTTGAGTAAGGATATCAAAATCATACAGGGTAGGGTAAAAGTAGGTTTACAGTTGTTTGTATGGAAAATAATACAATAATTAATAAATCATACAAGAATAAACTCTGTTTCAAGTACTCACAACTGTAAATCTACTTCTGCCCCACCCTGTATATGGAGGCCAGAAAGATAATCTATGAACTGAGTAGGTTTAAGACAATGGGACACTGACAGGCTCATGGCAATGGCAATTTAAGTGTATGCCATCTGAAGCCACTCAAGTTAATTATTATTTCTATCATCAATATATGTAAGATTATGTATCTTCTAATTAATATAAAAAAATCTATACAGCTCTATGGTTCCAGGCCTAATTATTTTTACACTTTTAACACACATAGACGGTACCAAGATTATGATTCCAAGACGTACTTAAGCCCAAATTTCATCATCTATAAATGGTGTTAAAAATAGTACTTACCTTAGAAGTCTATTGTGAGAAATAATGAATGCAAAGTACCTAACATACGCTTGCACATGATAAATGCTTAACAAATACTATTTCTGAAACTATTATACTCACTAATTGCCTTTATTGTAGCCCCTAACAAGCTCCAGTCAACTGTAAAACTCTCCACACTTTCAATCTCTTCACTTAATATTTCCTCTGCACCTGAAGAGTAGCAAAGTTTGTTAACTCTATCTCCTAAATACTGATTTAATATAGCAAATCTGTACCCTCATTGTCATTGCCTTAGTTCAGTCTCTCATTATTTTTGCCAGGAGCACTATATTGTCCATGTTAAATAGTTACTTTGATTTATTTTGAAAAATTAATAGAACTCACCAGATCTGAAGGAGAGAGTGACAGGAATAGTTAGGCATGGGGTTTTCATTCTAAGCAAAGAAAAAAGCAATATGCAGAGGCATGAGCCCCCAAGGAAAAACCTGTGTGAGGAGTATAAGTCTTTTAGCAAGAACAAATCCTGAGTGCCTGAGGAGATGAAGTAGACAAGTAGGCAAGGACTAGGCTGGGCTGGGTCATAGACTTCTGCACTGCCCACGAGAGGTTTTTAGAGCACGGTGAAAGGATCACACCTGTGTTTGAGAGTAAACACTCAGGTGTAGTATGGTTAACAATGTACTCAGTTCAATGGCAGAGAGGAGTTGAAAGGTGACAGATAAGGACCATGCCCATGGAGAGCTGAAAACTTTGAAACATGGGGTCAAAATATTTAACACACATACAGAAGTAGTGGGCAAGCCAGTAAAATGGTAAAGTTTAAATTATGGAGAAAAGTTTGTGGCTGTTAGAAATAAATGCATCACAGGTATATTAAGACCTAAGTAAGGAATGGGGCACAAGTGATAGTGCTTGAAGCTATTAATAGGCAGAGAAGAGGAGGAAATTCCAGGTGGGATAAACCTTTAAGCTATTTTGACTCAAATCTCAGCTACACATCATAATACTTAGGCACTCATCTGTTTTGGGCAAATCTACATGAACAGAGAAATAGAAGGCCAGCCATCGGCATTACAATAGTATTCCTGGAACTTGATAAACATAAAGCTGGCCAACAATATTATGGAAAATAGTGAAGGGCAACTAAAGAGAAAAACCTAAGAGACAAATAAGTACTCTTGATGACCTTATTTTTAAAAGGCCCTCAAAACTATCTTTATAGCTTAAGCCACAGGGCCACTTTAAAAGCAGAGATGGAATCTCTTCATTCAGGGGCAAAAGTTCAAACTCTTAGCTCTAATCAAGATTCTGGAAAAAACTGCTGGTATGTAGCTTTACTGCTCCATTAGACAAGAGGTCTGTAAAAGAGCAGGGCGTGCACAGACAGCTTTGGCCCTGGGTCTGATAATAGATACAAGCCAGACTCCTTTAGAAGCCAACAGGTTCTCTGAAGCTCAGCAATCTCAACAAAGATCTGCAGATGAGGTTTGCTATCACTCCCCTACCTCATCACCTCTGGCTCCTTTGTTCTTTCTTTCTCCCTCAACTTGTTCTTTTCAATTGCCCTTGCTCCTGCAGTCCTTTCCAATTCATTAATATTACAAAGGAAACAGATATAGACAACTAAAGCTAATAACTGTGGATCCTGCACTGAGTCTTAGACACTGTTATAGTATTACCTCACTTGATCCTTAACAACCCCATGAGATAGGTACATCAATAGCCTCATTTTGTAGATGAGAAAGCTGACGCACAGAGGTTAAGTAATGAGACCAATCACACAACCAGGAGCAGTGAACTGGGGCTTATACTCAGGCAATCTGGTTCCAGAGTCTAAATATTTAACCAAATGCAATTCTATCTCTCATACTGAAATGCTACTTTATTCTTCTAACATTCCTATTTCTTACTAAAGATCGTAAAATAGAATATAAACAAATTGTTGCTATTTAATTATGATAGGCTGAATCCAGTCCCTAGCAACGAAAACATAGTGGTTAATCAGCTCACACGGTGACCTCAAATTCAGAAAGATGCTTTATAACCAATAATCTTCCTTTACAACAATTAGCATCTTTTTCAAAAGACTTAACTCCATGTCATTAGAAGTTAGGAGATCTAGATTTGAGTTCTGGTCTGTCACATATTAACTGAGTAATCTATTTATGGGAGAGAAAAAATCCAAATGAATTTTAACCTAATGGATTATAGTTGTTTTGGGTTTTGTTTTTTTTTAAGTATAAAATACAAGGATATTAAGAATATTTACTCTATCCACAATCGAGGAAGACTGTGGGTCAAATGATATATGTATGAAAGTGCTTTGCAAACTGATAAAATACAAAGTACAAAAGTCATTCTAATTATTTGAGATATAATCAATTTTCAATTCGGTTTCAGAAACAGGGAAAAACATCTATGCTCTTCTTCATTTTAATGCCATAAGCAGATGAGGTACCTGGGATAAATACCAAGAGAAGATGACTCAGAGAACCATGAGAAGTTTATGGAAATGCAGTTCTGTTTCTGGGAATAGCACTGTACAATCCAGTATCAAATAGCTGTTGATATATCTCAATGAAGCTCAAGACATATGTAAATGAAATAAATAGCTGGTGCAGAATAAATACAGTAAGGGAAATTTAAAAATAAGTCTAAGCCTTATAATTCCCAACCCTGAGCTTTCTTAGATGACCTAAAGAGATCACAGAATAAGATTAGTTTTGGATGTCATGGGAAACTGGACCTGAGGCTTAAGCACATAGTATGCACCTGTGCTTACAGTATGCAATAAAAACAGAAGTGTTCCAAGGGATCAACCATAAAATGTATTTCTACGTATCTAAAAAGTAATTTTATGAACATCCCTTCTGTTCTCTGTAAAGCTTTTTTTGTTAATAATCATGTTAATAAATAAATCTACTTAATGGTTTAACTAAAACAGTATCTCACGTTATAGACTAGATACATTCTTAAAGTCATTTTGTGGCAGGCAAGCATTTTCCTATTTTCTAGTTTTCTTAGTTTCTAATTGCATTTCAGAATCACTCTCACTTCATATTTTCTAGTTATTCTAATTATAACACAAAGAAGGCAAAAGAAGTTAAGTGCAAAAAGAGGAGAACGGTCTTGATTCTCAGCTTGACAACAGCAGGCTCACAATCCACTATTTACATGTAAGTCAACCAAGTACCAAGGAACAATTCTTATATTTCTGAAAAAAAATCCAAGTATATATTCTTGAGACCACATGCTCAATTTATCTCACCATTTCTCCCAATTCAATAATGACAAATTTCTGTGTGGTGAATCACTTGAATTAATAACATTCCAGTAAGTTATTTTCTTAAATAGCTTGCTACTCTGCACATTGGCAAGTACCGGGAGCTGTTGTTTATTGGGTTCCTATTCTTCATCGGGTGTTTTGCATACACATCTTCATTTGATCTCAACAACAGTCCATAAAGGGAAGTAGTATGATCAAAATGTATGTGCTGCTCCAAACTTCAAACCTAGTAACAAACAATACCTGAAACTAATATAATACTGTGTGTCAACTATAATTTTTTAAAAAAATCTAATGAAGAATAATTCTTTAAATCTTCCTATAAAATCCAATCTTTGGGGCATGAAAAGTCTTACATTGATATTTTCTACTTGCAGTAGATGTACTGTATAATATGACTTCACATCTTCTGACAAGAACTTCACACTGAATCCTGTTTCTTTAAACAGCATCTCCCGGTCGTCTTTTGTTGGCCAGTACTGAGCACATTTAACCTAAATTTAAGAATATGTATATATATTTTTAGTATACATACACGATAAAACAATAAAAAGTTGGGGGGAGAGGGGAACCCACATACATAAATGCTATTTTTTTCAACTACCCAAATCTAAGAACAGTCACATAATATTTGATGTCTATTTTAATCAGATGGGCATTTTATAAGGGCAAGTTTGTAAAATATCCCTATAACTTATACACTAAAAACCATAAACAGATATCATGTTCATAAAATAGAAATGAATTTGTCATTTCTAAAGCATGATAACCTATAATTTAACATCATACTGGAATTCATTTTGTTTCCAAAAGTATCAAACACTTGCAAGACTCTTATATTCAAACAATAATCTACTACTAAATGCTACATATCTAGAAATAACACTGCATATTTATTTACTAAAATTAAGTCAGGGAAGAGAATCAGAAGTTAAGCCCCTTTTACCTAGAGCTGTTGCATTTTGACAGAACTACTAATATGGAATTCAGTGTGTGACAATAAAAGCATCTTCCCAAAAGCCAAATTATGAAGCCAGTAGACTGAGACAAGGTTAGATAGAGTCATTTCATTAATAGACCACATCATTTTAGAAAATAAGACTAGCCCGGCTGGCACGGCTCAGTGCTTGAGCATCAACCTATGATCCAGGAGATCATGATTCATTCCCTGTCAGGGCACAGTGGGGGGCGTGCAGGAGGCAAATGATCAATGACTCTCATCATTGATGTTTCTATCTCTCTCTCTCCGTCTCCCTTCCTCTCTCCTAAATCAATAAAGATATATTAAAAGAAAGAAAATAAGACTATTTCAACTAAAAGGAACAGAGGCATGAACAAACAGAATAGATCATATTTTAAGAGGAAAGAGGAAAAGGAGAAAATTTAAAAGAAAAAAGAAGAAAGAAATGAAGAGAGTGATAAATAGAATTAGACATTGTGATAAATATAAAAATAGGCAAAGAAAATCTAACATACGTATAATAGAAGGGCCCAAAGAACACCAAAACAAGCAAAGGAACAACAAATACTAAAAGTGTGATTAAATAAATTTTTCTTAAAAAGGGGGGAAAAATGTTTCAAATCACATATTGAAAGAATACACTATGTACCTGGAGAAAATGACCCAGAATGACCAACACTAAGACATACTTGGGTAAAAATAATAGAATTTGAAAACAAAAATCCTTTGGGTAACCTAGGTTAAAAATAAAAGTGACTTATAAAGGAAAAGAAATAAGATTTCCATTTGACTTTGACAGTAATTTGTAATGCCAGAAAGAAACGGAGTAATATATTTAAATTGCTCAAAGAAAAGCAAATGTAACACAAGGATTTTATGTCCTGCGAAACTGACTTTTAAGCATTAAGTCAGCAGCTAAACTGTCATCAACATGTAAGAAATCAGGGACTTTAATGCCCATGAGTCCTTCCTTAGTACTCACCAGAGAATGACTATAGACAGAACTGGAGAGACATCAACAAAGACTGGTGATGAGTATTAAATACACACTTACATGTAGAACTAAGATTTTAAAAGGGATATGAGAGAGACTCTGGTATGCTATATACTCTGGCAATGTAGGTAAAATACAAGTAAAAAAAACCAAACAAACAGAAAGAAAATGGGGAAAACAAAAACTTTAAAATTTTTTTCAGTAATTATTTTGGTGATGAAGTTGATACTGTTTTTAAGAATAATCTTTGTGTGTAATTTGGGACAAAGTAAATGAATCATTATAAGATATTCTACATCCCTAGTATCTTTTGAGAACCAGGATTTATGGAACAAAAGAAGGTAACAAATATATAGTAGAAAGTGTTAAGCCAACCCCCAGAGTCCTAAATTTGAATTGGAAATATCAGTATGAATTCTTGAGGTAATGTTATCTTAACACACAAACAAATTTTTCTCCAGCTCTATTCACTGAAAAGCTTTAAAAACAATGACCAACGCAGTAGTAAGGCTCCTTAAAGAAATGCCTGATTCTATGAAGAAGAGTTTAAGATGAGCAAGAAGGCATTAAGGACTCTTAGGTTTGTGTTAAAAGGACTTAGGACCAAACTTGAAGAGATTCCTGCTAGCCAACAAAGTGAAATGAATCAAATGTTTTTAAATCTATGAGTTCATAGTAATTGATACTGCCCCTCCCTCACACCAAAAAAACCCTAATTGGTCATCTGTTGAGGACACTAGGGAATCAACTCTGTTTTAAAAACTGCTTTTTCTATATAAAAGTGGTCAAGTAACTAGAATGGGAAATTTTTTAAAAGAAGTATTTCAAAATAAACTCAAGAAGGAATGATAAAATTGAAATATCACTCTTTTGTAACCCCTAACTAAGGAACTAAGGACTGAACAATAATGACTGCTAACATCATAAAAAGAAAGATAATCAGACATTATAGGCCTCTTGATAAAATAACACTACACCACCTATGAAGTAATTATCCCCCAATAATTAAACCTGAATCTTATTAAAGTATCTAGATCCAACCACCATAAATATGATCTCCAATTTCTGGTGGCAATCTTACCCTATTAATAGAGTAATAATACACAGAAGTGAGAGATAAAACTAATAAATCATCTAGTTTGCAATGTTGCTCAAACTGTTCAAACTGACAATGTAACCATCACTTAATTTTTAAATCACATTGGAAACCATGAAAACCCATTGTAAATGACTTTTGGACATTTTGGTATGTCAATGCCACTTCAGATTAGAAATAAATTAGAAAAATTTTCACCACCATAGAAAACCAGCAACTATAAATTTAGATAACAGTAAGAATCAGGAATCTGGCCTGGCCGGGCATGGCTCAGCGGTTGAGTGTCGACCTAGGATCCAGGTGATCGAGGTTCGATTCCCGGTCAGGGCACATGCCTGGATTGCGGGCTCGATCAATGACTCTCTCATCGATGTTTCTATCTCTCTCTCTCCCTCTCCTTTCCTCTCTCTGAAATCAATAAAGATATATTTTAAAAAAAAAAAAGAATCAGGAATCTGAAGTGGAATAGTCGACCATCTTAAGTCTGGAAGAGACCTTAAAGATAATACTTTCCAATTTGCTGGTTTGACAGAAAATCAATCTAAAGCTGCAGAAGTTAAAAGACTTAACTAAAGTTATACTACTAACTAGCACTGTGTTTAGATTGCACTTCAAATTTCAAAAATTTCCTACTTACTATCTCATGACCTAAGAGTTAATAATTTATAAAGATTTTTAAAATCCTGTTACTTTAATCTTAATTTTCAAGATTTTGATAATAAATTGTGAAGATTCTAATAAAGCCTAGGTGTTTGAAAGTTCTATGTATGCTACTAGTTTGTATTTGTTCCATTATATTTATTTCTTTGAGGGTAATGGTCACAATTGCTACTTAAATATTTAAGCTGAGAAAGGAAAAGGACACATTAGTTTTTTTGGGCAGAAACACCCTGACTACGAGCCTTTAGCAATTCAAGGACAAAAGTTATGAATGACAGAATGTCCCCAAAGAAATATGAAAACATTTATAAGCGAATGATCACAAGCAGTACAGTAAGTTGTAAATAATAAGTATTACTCACCGATTCTTTCTCTACAACTCGGTTTAGCATGACAACTGCTTTCGTCTTTTGCTGCCAAACCATGAGCCAGAAATGACAGCCTGTGTTAGGAAGTGGACCCTATAAGAACAGCAAAGAAAAAGTAGGTAAGAGAAAGGTGATGGAGTAAGGCTAAAGGAAAACTCCTTCAAACCTTCTGGTTTGAGAACAATGTATTGGATCATAATTGGTAAATTAACACTTTAAATCTACTTGAATTAAGAAATATGTCTGTACTAGTCAGGATTATTAGTTATAAATGATCAAAACTGACTTTTATTCACTTAGGCAGAAAAAGAATGTTTCAGGCTATCAGGTCACTTTCAGAGTTGAGGACTAGAGAACCAGGCTTGGCTAGGAACAAATGTCAATGCAAGATTCTGCCCAAAGAAGAGTGAGCCTGGAACAATGTTCCTGATATAGTCATGTCTATCACCTTGCTTTGCTGGCACTGCCATACAAAGGTGTCTGTAGCATTCACACATAACCTACAAGCAAACCAGAGTCAAAATCATAGGTGAGAATATCTGATTGCTCATGTTCTAGCTGCAAAGGAGGTAGGTAAAAGGAATTTCTGTCTTTCAGTTTCCACAGCAGAAAGACAGGGGGCAGCTGCCCACAGATCAGGAGTCCAGCAAAAGAGGGAGTCTGTGCCATCACTAGTTAGGCCAGCCAACTAACCCAAGTTAACTACAAAAATATTTCCAGAAAAAGCAGATATTTCAAAGTACCCAAACCACTATAAAACTGTTCATCTACAAAACTACAGCATGTGTGACCTCAATAGAAGACTTAAAAGGGGCAACATATTACAATACTGTCATGGGCGGGGGGGGATCAAACCATATTATGTACTTCCAATTATCTTCACATTGTGTTTAATGGTAGCATAGGGCAGAAGAAAGGGCAAATAAGAGATGAAAGGCCATGCCCAAATTATGACTAATTTTAAATAACTGAAAGTTAAAATAAATGAGGTTTTAATGTACCTAAAGTAACTCAGCATGCATTCACCTCATAGAGCAGGGTGGTAGAGTGGTGAGTGAGAGGCAGAGTAAGGACACTGGGGCCAGGGCAGCCTGGAGCTTCAGCCTCACAAGGTGATTCAAATGGTACCAGACTGAAAGCAGCGTGTCCCCAGGCCCGGCACTACAGCAGATGGCCTTGGTTTGCAGCTTGGCCTCAACTGGGCACCTCCAAGCCCAGCACAAGTAGCAACCATCTACAGGTCCTTTTGTAGTTCATGGTGGGTGGCCCCAGGCAGAACACAGGCAGTGGCTGACCTTGGCCTGCACCTCCCGGAAAGCCCCAGAGCCAGTGTGCCCAGTGGATAGCTTAAGACCACAGTGAAGCACCACCACCCAACCACCTCCACAAACGACACACTCAAGGGGCAGAGACATAGTGGGCATTGAAGTAAGTCCTGCTCTGTGAGGTGGGCCCCTGCACAGCTGATCCTCTATGGTGGTCATAGGTCAGTGATCAGTGGTTCACAGCCAGTCCTAGCAGCTGATTGGCCTGGGGGGCAAATCCCTCCCATTGATGTGCCAACAGCAATCAGGCCAAAACTATAAGAGGAAGGTGTACACAGCCCACATGGAGGGTGCACCTCAAGGGCTGGGCTTGGGTGATTGGGGAGGCTGTGCCACTGAACCCTACAGAACACCTACTACATTAGGCCACTCTACTAAGCCTGGGAGATGTGGCAACTCTAATATATAGAAACAAACACGGGGAGGCTGCCAAAATGAGGAGACAAAGAAACACGTCCCAAATGAAAGAACAAAATAAAACTCCAGAAATAGAACTAAACAAAATGGAGACAAGCAACTTATGAGATACAGAGATCAAAACACTGGTTATTAGGATGCTCAATGAACTTAGTGAGAATATCAACAGCATAAAAAAGGACCAGTCAGAAATTAAGGATACACTAGCTGAAATGAAGAATAATTTATAGAGAATCAACAGTAGAGTACATGAAGCCGAAAATCAAATCAGCGATTTGGAACACAGGCAAAAAAACACCAAATCAGCCCTGGCCAGTGTGGCTCAGTTGGTTGGAACATCGTCCCATACACCAAAACGTTCCATGTTCGATTCCTGGTCAGAACGCATACCTATGTTGTGGGTTCAATCCCCAGTCGGGGCACACAGGGGAAGGCAACCAACCAATGTTTCTCTCTCTCCCATCCCCTCTCTCTGAAGTCAATAGGTGTGTCCTGGGGTGAGGACTGAAGGGAAAAAACACACAATAAGAACAGCAAAAAGAAAAAAGAACACCCCCCAAATGAGGACAGTATGGAGCCTTTCAGACAGGTGCCAGGAGAAAAGAGAGAGCAATAAATTAAAAACCTACCTGAAAATATGACAGAAAACTTCCCTAACCTGATAAAGGAAACAGACATACACATTCAGGAAGCCCAGAGAGTCCCAAACAAGATCAACACAGAGACCCACACCAAGACACATCATAATTAAAACACCAAAGGTTAAAGACAAAAAATCTTAAAAGCAGCAAGAGAAAGCAGTTAGTCACCTATAAGGGAGCTCCCATAAGACTGTCAGCTAATTTCTCAACAGAAACTTTGCAGACCAGAAGAGATTGGCAAGAAATATTCAAAGTGATGAAAAGCAAGGACCTACAACCAAGATTACTCTACCCAACAAAGCTATCATTTGGAATTGAAGGACAGATAGAGGTTCACAGACAAAAAACACAGAAAGAGTTGATCACCACCAAATCAGTATTATATGAATGTTAAAGGGTCTTCTTTAAGAAGAAAAGAAGAAAAAAGATAAAAAAATATGAAGAATAAAATGGAAATAAATACATATCTATCAACAACTGAATCTAAAAACCAAAATAAATGAACAAGCAGAACAGAAACAGACTCATAGATCTAGAGAACATTTTGATGGTTGCCAGATGAGGAGTAACAGTAAATAAATAAATAAATAGGCAGACCCACTTCAGATTAAAAGACAAACACAGATTGAATATAAAGAGATGGAAAAAGACATTTCATGAAAATGAAAGATAAAAAAGCAGGGATACCAATACTTAGTATCAGACAAAATAGACTTTAAAACAAAGGCCATAACAGGCCCGGCTGGGCGTGGCTCAGCGGTTGAGCATTGACCTAGGATCCAGACGATCGGGGTTTGATTCCCGGTCAGGGCACATGCCCGGGTTGCGGCTCCATCCCCAGTCGGGGGTGTGCAGGAGGCAACCGATCAATGACGACTCTCTCATCATTGATGTTTCTATCTCTCTCTCTCCCTCTCCTTTCCTCTCTCTGAAATCAATAAAGATATATTAAAAATAAAATTAAAAAAAATAAAATAAAATAAAATAAAATAAAATAAAATAAAATAAAATAAAATAAAATAAAGGCCATAACAAGAGACAAAGAAAGACTCAGCAATTCCACTTCTGGTTATTTATCCGAAGGTTATTTAACACTAAATCAGAAAGATATATGCATCTATATATCTTTGTTCACTGCAGCATTACTTACAATAGCCAAGATATGGAAGCAACCTGTGTTCACTGACAAACAAATGAATACTATATACAACAGAATATTACTTAGCCATAAAACAAGAATGAAACCTTGCCATATGTGACAACATGGATGGACCTAGGAGGTATTATGCTAAGTGAAATAAGTCAGACATAGCAAGACAAATGCCAGATGATTTCACTTATATGTGGAATCTAAAAAACAAAATAAACAAACAATAAAACAGAAACGAACTCCATAGACACAGAGAACATCCTGATGGTTGTCAGATGGGTAGGGGGTTTGGGGGATAGGTAGAAAAGAAGAACAGATTAAGAGGTACAAATTGCCAGTTTTAGAAACTGTCACAGGGATATAAAATACAGCATAGTCAATAATATTGTAATAACTATGTTCAGTGTCAGATGGGCACTAGACTTACTAGATCACTTTGTAAGTTATATAAACATCTCGTCTTATGTTGTACACTTGAAACTAATGTAATATTGTATGTTAACTGTAATACATGAGAATTTAAAAACTACTTTTTAAAAAGAATCTGGGGTAATTATTCTTTTCTATTTTTTAACATTATAGTTTTTCCAAATAGAAATAAAATGTTCAACTCTAAAAATGAGTTTATTAAAAATGTCATTATGCTCATAAAAAATACTTCAAATATTACAGAAAGGCAGAAAATGGCAAATAAAAATCTCTATTCATAATTCCCAGAAACTAATGGTATATGTATAATTTATTTAGCCAGTTCCTTATAGATTATTTCAATCCTATTATTCCTGGTCCTATGCTATCAAAATTAAGTTGCAGTAAACACCCTCACATATATGTTTACATCTGTACATATTTGACTACTGAGTACTATAAACTTTTAAGTCTCTATTGTTCTGACAGGTGAAAAGTGGTAACTGGTTTAAATTTGTATTCCCTAATTACTGGAAAAGTTGAGGATCTTTTCATATTCATATTACCTACTTTTCTCTTTTTCTTTAAACTGAATTTATGGTCTTAACGAGTTTTTTCAGATTGTTTCTCCCTTCCTTTTTGATGAACAGGAACTGTTTTACTTCAAGCAAAATAATTAATTTTTGCCCAGCCAGGTGTGGCTCAGCGGTTGAGCATCTCGACCTAGGATCCAGGAGATCAGGGTTGATTCCTGGTCAGGGCACATAATCAGGTTGCAGGCTGCAGCCAATCAATGACTCTCTCATCATTGATGTTTCTATCTCTCTCTCTCCGTTTCCCTTCCTCTCTCTGAAAATAAAGATATTTTTAAAAAATTAATTTTCATTTCCTGTGAATTATAAATAATCTAATAGCTTACAGTTACATTCATTTTAACATCTTTTTACCATATTTTGATCCAAATTGAGCTTTGAAAAATCTTGATATTATGAATATACAACTTATTTTTGGAATATTTAAAAATCGTTAACTGGAGGAAACAAAATCACTGTTAATTAAGTCTCTGTTATCTGATAAAGGGTAGCTGGTATAGATAAACCAAAGTAATTTCTATTATTTCAGAATGAACAAAAAGTAGTACTGTAATATGGGTGCAGCCAATGTTCCAAGAAGCAATCAGGCAAAATGCCAAGGGAGCCACCAGGCTCTCTGGTCTCCTAGCCAGCCCTCTGGGCACCTGATCTCAGCATCCCCACTCTGCCCTGAACAAAGGCCCAAAGGCCGGACACCATCTAGGGCGTGTCTATACTCTCAAAACATATATGCCAGAGAGGGGAGTAGAGAAGAGCTTTCAAAGGATCTCTGGTTATAACACAGATTATATGAAGAGAGATGGAAGAAGTTGACAAAAGATTAACAAAGGCTATGTATCAAGTATAAAGCAAGGAAAATAATTTGCCTGAAAAGAATTGGCCTGAGCCATTTCATTAAAAATTTTTCCTTCACAGAATATATAACATTAAAATTAACTTTACTTTTATCTTAAATACACAAGGCTGCAAAACATCATAATTTCTACACTCATTACATACCATAGCAACAGAAGAAACTGAAATAGCATTGCATTTACAAAAAAAGTCAAAACATACTTTTAGCTATGTTTTAAAGTAGACAATCACAAAAACTGCATTGTCAGGTATCTGCTCAACCTCAAACCACTTGCCTGTGTTAAGATGTAACTCCTCTGCGCCTCTTCTATGTCAACTAAGCTGGCATTAATATAATCATTTTCAGCATTCTGCAGTTTAACACGACTGTGATCATCTGAAAAAGAGAATGACATGCCATAACTGTCATTTCAAACTTCTCATTTCCTTTTTAATTTCTAGGTATTTATAAAATGAAAGAAGAGAGCCCTAAACAGTCCACCAAAATACATCCTAGAACTGATAAGTGAATTTAGTAAAGGAGCAGGATACAAAATAAATATTCAGAAATTGGTTGCATACACCAATAATGAACTATCAGAACGGTAAACTAAGCAAACAATCCCATTTACTAATGTATCAAAGAAAATCCTACGAATAAATTCAACCAAGGAGGTTAAAAGACCTGCACTCAAAAAATTTTAAGACACTGAAGAAAGAAATGGAAGAAGATATAAATAAATGAAAGCATATACTGTGTTCATGGATTGGAAAAATTAACATTATTAAAACGTCCATACTACCAAAGCAATCTATAGATACAATGCAATTCCTATCAAAATACCAGTGGTGTATTTCACATAACTAGAACAAATAATCCTAAAATTTATATGGAGCCACAAAAAATTCCTAATAGCCACAGCAATCTTGAAATAGAAACATGAAGTAGGAGGTATCATGCTACCTGATAGCAAGCTATACAACAAGGCGATAGTAATCAAAACAGCATATGGTACTAGCATAAAACCAGACATAAAGATCAATGGAAGAGAATAGAGAGCCCAGAAATAAACCCACACCTATATGGTCAATTAATATTTGACAAAGGAGACAAGAACATACAATAGGGTAAAGGCAGTCTATTCAATAAATGGTTCTGGGAAAATTGGACAGATACACGCAAAATAAAAAATGAAACTAGACCACCTTCTTACACCATATCAGAATAAAGTCAAAATGGATTAAAGACTAAATATTAAGACTCAAAACCATAAAATTCCTAGAAGAAAACACAGGCAGTAAAATCTTGTACATTTCTCTTAGGAATATTTTTTCTGATATATCTCCTTAGGCAAGGGAAACAGAAGGAAAAATAAAGAAATGGGACTCCATCAAACTAAAAAGTTTTTGCACAGTAAAGGAAACCATCACCAAAATTAAAAGACAACCTACTGAATGAAAAAGATATTCACCAATGATACATCTGATAAGGGTTAATGTCTAAAATTTATAAAGAATTCATATTACTCAACACCAAAAAAACAAACAATTCAGCCCTGGCTATGTAGGTCAGTTGGTTAGAGTGTTGTCCCAGTTCACCAAGGTTGTGGGTTCAATACCCAGTCAGGGCACATAGAAGAATCAACTAATGAATGCATAAATAAGTGCACAAACAAACTGATGCATAAACAAATGCATAAACAAATAGATGTTTCTCTCTCCTTTTCTCTCTAAAATCAATAAATTTTTTAAAAAAATAAACAACAATCCAATTTATTTATTTATTTATTTTAAATATATCTTCATTGATTTCAGAGAAAGGAAGGAAGAGGGAGAGAGAAAGAAACATCAATGATGAGAGAGTCACTGATTGGCTGCCTCCTGCATGCCCCCGACTGGGTATTGAGCCCACAACCCGGCATGTGCCCTGACCAGGAATCGAACCATGATCTCCTGGATCCTAGTCCGACGCTCAACCGCTGAGCCACGCCCCGCCAGGCAACAATCCAATATAAAAAATGAGAAGAGGGCTTAAACAGACACTTCTCCAAAAACGACAGATGGCCATTAGACATATAAAAAGATGCTCAACATCACTAATTGTCAGATAAATGCAAATTTTAACCACAATGAGATATCACCTCACACCTGTCAGAATGGCTCTCAGAAGCTCCACAAGCACAAGTATTGGTAAAGAGGTGGAAAGGGAACCCTCATACACTGTTGGTGAAAATGCAGAATGGTGCGGCCACTGTGAAAAACAGTACGGAGATTACTCAAAAAATTAAAAATAGAAGTGCCTTATGATCCAGTGACTCCACTTCAGGGTATTTATATATCTGAAGAAACCCAAAACACTAATTCAAAAGAATATATGCACCCCTATGTCCACTGCAACATTGTTTACAAAAGCCAAGATATGGAAGCAGCCCATGTGCCCATCAATAGACAAGTGGATAAAAAAGTGGTGGTATAGTCCTCGCAACTGTGGCTCAGTGGTTAGAGCATCACCCCATGCACCTGAAGGGTCTTGGGCTCGATTCCCGGTCAAGGGCATATATCTGGGTTGCAGGCTCCATCCCCGGCCCCAGTCATGACATGTATGGGAGGCAGCCAATCCATGAGGCAGCCAATCCACGAGGCAGCCAATCCATGTGTCTCTCTCTCATCAATTCCACCCCTCAGGTGAGGATTAACAACAACAAAAGTTGTGGTACATATATACAATGGAATTATTATTCAGCCTTTAAAAAAATAATGAAATCTTACCATTTGTGAAAGCATGGAGAGACCTAGAGGGTATTATGCTAAGTGATATAAGCCAGAGAAAAACAAATATCATATGATTTCACTTATATGAGGAATCTAAAGAACAAAATAAACAGAAAAAACAAAAACAGGCTGATAGATACAGAAAACAGACTGATGGTTGCCAGAGGGGTGGGGGATTACGGGTGCTGGGTGAAAAGGGTGAAGGGATTAAGATATACAAATTGGTAGTTACAAAATAGCCACACTAAAGAAAAATACATCATAGGGAATATAGTCAATAATACTGTAATAACTGTATGGTGCCAGGTGGTACTGGAAATATAAGGGGGAATACTTTGTAAAGTATATGACTGTCTAACTATTATGCTGAACACCCGAAACTAGCACAAAATAATATTGAATATGAACTACAAATGAAAAATAAAAATTTTAAAATAATAAAATGATAGAAGAAACAAACAAAGAAAAAACTAATTAGTACCACAGGAGAGTGGAGACAAATTTCAAATTACTCCTTTTTTAAAGGAAGTACAGAAATGTAATCCTTCTGTTTGTTACTGTGGTGTTGGAAGGTAAGTGCTTTTGTTTTTAGATTAACTATTATAACTTCAAAAATGACCAAAGTGTAAAATACAGTAAAAGGAATAAAGTACCTGCCTTCCTAAATGTAAAAGGATCATTTAGATTCTTGGTGCCTACGACCTGATAGGTCTACCTACAAAAAAAAAAAGAAAGAAAGAGGGAAAACTGGCCTCAGATTGATGAGACTAGATTTCTACACTAACTACATTTCCTTTTCTTCATTCCTCAATGGACGTGCACTGAACTACTGTAATCCCCACTTGTCTGTTGGGAATACACTGCAAGTGTCCCCAGTGGATGCCTGACACTGCAGCTAGTACTGAACCCTACATATACTATGGTTTTTCCTGTACATACCTATGAAAAAGTTTAATCTATAAATTAGGCACAGCGAGAGATTAATAACTAATAATAAAATAGAGCAATTATAACTATGTACTGTAATAAAAGTTATGTGAACATGGTGTCTCTCTGATAACCGGGAGGGCTACTAAGTGACTAAAGGGTGGATAGCATCTACAGAGTGGAGACGCTGGACAAAGGGATGAGCTCTGTCCCAGATGGAGCAGAACAAATCAAATTTCATCAAACTACTCAGGAGGGTACAAAATTTAAAACCTATGAATAGTTTATTTCTGGAATTGTCCATTTAATATTTTCAGAATGAGGTTTACCATGGGTAACTGAAACCTCAAAGTGAAACTGGAGAAGGGGGGACTACTGTATATTTAAATAATTTTTAGCATTTAACTATATTTAGATTAAATGCTAAAAAAATTGAAATATAGTTGTAACATTACAATTCTTTCAAAGACAACTAAAGATGCTTCATTACTTAGGCTGTGTTATAGTAGTTTATGTATGTTTCTAGTTTTTTAAAGTAAAAAATCTCATAGATTTAGAATTTATGCCAATTTAAGTAGGTAGAGTACAAAACTATTCCTGGTATCATCTGAATGGAAAAGAAAGAGAAGCAGGACACAGGTAGAGCAAGCAAGCACATGCGCAAGAACAGAACTTACATTAATTTAGAACCCTAAACATACAGCTTTCTGAAGCATATAACTGACTTATAAACTGAATACATGCTTGATCTTTAACTCTGGAGGATATGTACTATTATAAGCTGCTTCCCTCAAAGAAATCTATACTAAGTATCTATTCTCAAATATATATATGTACACATATATATGTATGTACACACACACACACACACACATATATTCTCTTCCTACTTTTAAACTAAAAACTGTTTACATTATGTCCATGTGAAAGAAAATATTCAGTGGCTTTAGTTTCACACATCAATTTATCTGAGATATTTCTGCTGGACTGAACCCAAGACCTATGTAAATATTACATGTCATTTGCCAACAGGAAAAACTAAGATCTTGTTATGGTAAATCACTTATACTAGTGTTCTCGGAAAGATGATGTCAGTAAGCACTTTTTTTTAAACAGTAACTTTTTTTTTAACAGTTTCATCACCCTTTAACTGTTCTATTATGTGAGATAGAAAAAGGGTCAGCAACCTAATTAATAAAAAATAGAGACCATATATCTCCTACATAACACGCATTGGGAGAATAAAACCTACTTTCAGAACGTGACATGATTTCTAAAATTCAAGATCCACTAAAATATAATACCAAAGGAATACATTTCCTCATGTTGTAATCACAGAAAGAACACAAACCCCAAAGGTTAATAATATCTATTGCACAACAACAGAAACAATTTGGCCAACAGAAGCAAGAGTCCATAAAAACTGGGAAGGTTCTCTCTAGGGTGCTGGGAATTCGGTTCCTGCACGTCACTGCCCCAGACCCTTCAACAGCTTTGGGAGGGGGAAAAAAACAGACAAAGACCTTTAACAGTCTATTTTTAAGTACTTGATAACCTGCCTTCAGGACTCTGAAGAATTTACTGTTATTTTCTAGAATTTACTAGAAAACTCTTCTAGAATTTACTGTTATTTTCTCTCTAGCTTTATTATTATTATTATTATTATTATTTCCTCCAGCTTTATAATCTATACCAGGT